ACACACACACACACACACACACACACACACACACACACACACACACAGAACAGCATCCCACGAGTATATTTAAGAGGGTGTGACGACAGGGAGTTTTTATATTTAAGCATTTTGAAGACCGACTTTTTCCAGCATCACAGAAATGTCTGCCTCAATCTGAAATGAATGAAGAAATATTTGTGTTTTTTTGTAAACAATGACATACTGTGGGCACACGAGGATGATGCGTTAGTTTCCAGGGAACGAAGTTAGTGTTGGAGATAATGAGCATCCACATTGTCATGTTAAGTTATTAGCAGCTCTGTTACTTCATGGCGACCGTGTCTTTGAGCAGGGAAGAACTGTGATGAGAGATGGCTGTAATCACTCACACAACTCGTGATAAATCTTACTGACAGTCCCTGGAGGCATCTGACTACAAAACTTTAATTTATGAGTCCTGTTCAAATTCAAGTATTATAATAGATTATTTAGTATCAGTTTGGCTTTGGTTCAGGGCCCCGTGCTGCAGATAGTTACATTCACAACATGCATATACACTTGTTCACTTACCCTGTCCTCTTCCTCTCTGAGGTCTGGCATGGTGCTGATACACAAGCTGATGACAGTCACCGCAACCATGATCACAGACAGGCAGGCAAAGATCTTCCCCGGTAAGCCAGACTGCGGATTCTCCACCATATCTCTCAGCCAGTTCATCACCTTTTTGTACCTCGTCTCCTCCACCGGCTCACGCTGCATAGCGTTTCTCTGCCTGCACTCCTCCTCGTGCCGCTCCAGCTCGTTCATCTCCTCGATGCGCGTGTACATCTTCCTCTTACAGCAACGCTCCATGTACGTCATCTCCACCCCCCAGTAGGTCAGCTCATCGTGCAGGGAGAGGACGCACATCTCCCGCAGCAGGCGCAGTTTCCCTGCAGCCAGGAAGTTCAGTATGACCCTGAAGGCGGATGGCGAGCGGTCGAAGAAGAACTCCTTGCAGGCTTCGTCATAGTCGTCGCAGACCCTGGCGATGTCCTCGGGTGATCGGCAGCCACAGAGGCGGCCAAGTCGTGTAAGGGGGAACTGCTCCAGGGTGCTCCAGGGGAAGGTGTAGCGGTTTCCCCCAACGTTGATCACCGCCAGCAGGGCGTGGTCGATGGACACCAGGTCCTCTGGCCGACGGATTAACTGAGCCCTCTGGTAGTACACACCCTGGAGAGTGAACAATGAAAAGCTTCAGTGGATGCGCAGCTGCATCAGAAATATGCAACTTGATCACTTATTCGATATAATTCTTCTATTCCTTTATCTCTCTTATTTTAGTGACAATCTTATTCATACCTTGATGGTCTCCGTCTCAGGGATTTCTGTGAAGATGTGGTCGAAACTGCTGTCATCGCTGGCGGACAGATTGCTGAAGTCATGGTTGGCGTTGCTGATGATGGGCATGGCAGCATCTGGAAAGCACGCTGCTCCTCACTGGGCAGCTCAGATCAAGTATCGAAGGCAGAAAAAACCTGAAGATTGCGCCACGCTCAACCTTTCAGTCACAGGATGAAACAGTTCTTTCTCTATCTCAGCCTCCAACAACTTCTGTTAAATCTCGAGAAAAGCTTTCCTGCCACAGCCAAGGTCTATTTTAGACAAGCTGAGCATCAAAATGTCTGTAGCTCTGTCTTTTTGGCCTCAGAACCCCTCATAACAAGGAGTTCTTTCTCAATGACAGACAAGCTATGGCTTTGGCTTCCAACCAACAGAGGAAAAACCCAGAAAGGAGAGAGATGGGGAGTATCAGGATTCCTGTTGACACATTTTAATGTGGATGAGTTTTGACGTCTCCATCAGAGGTCCATGATAGTCTCAGTTGGCGTATCAGGATTCAGCATCAGATCAGAGGGTAATTTGGGTCTGAAGCAAGAGTCTGGAAAAGGAAAACCCCAATAGAGAGAGTGGGTTAGGATTGATCAGTGGCGGATAGCTGCAGAGGATGAACTGGATGAGTCATGGAGGTGTCCTGGGACTGAGGGGGATCCTCTGTGTCGCCGCAGCAGGATTAGGGAGGGCCTAGAGCCGAGGTGGCATCATGCAGGCAGTGAGAGAGAAAGACATTATGTCAGAAAGGAGCTAGGATTGATTGAGATTAAGGCAGGTTTACGTAATAGACAGAGACTGGGCATAGAGACTAGTTAAGAGATGTGTGAGAGGACAGAAAAAGGGGAGGAAGAAGAGACCAAGAGCACACCTCATTGAGAACGCAGTGCTGTATGCTCAATCCTCCTCTTTCACTTCCTTTCAGCGAAAAACAAGACAGACAGACACGTCAGCTCTGCTGCTATAAATGGCCCGTCAGAGTGGTCAGCACAGGACTTTATCAGAGAGCAAATTCATTTACACTCACATCAACATTCCAATAAGGATGTCCTGGCTGGATTACACTAGTACGTGTGTTAGAAAATTCAATGAGCAAGTAGGAAAGAACATTCAGGCCTGTGGTGTTATTTCCACTCTGAGTGAGTTACTGGCTGTTGTAGATGGGCAGCGATCCTATCAACAGACACTGAAACACGGGGTCCAAAATGTTTTTCACTGTCTGTTGAAACTTATTGGCACAGTCGGGCATTACAGTTGCCCAGAATGGCTCGCTGTGTATTAAAGCCTTAAATAGTTGTGATTCATTTATTATCACATTAGTTGTCACTGTGACTAACTTACAATTTGTCTATTTTCCTACTGCAGAGTTATTTAATCACATGCATTAAAACCAGCAGCCAGCAGATAGAAAAGTCTGGAAGACTGGCAGCAGGAAAGATATTGTCAGTATAGACTTTTTTTAACAGCTGATATTTTGACTTTTTTGAAGGTCATAGCAGGAAAAGCCCAGGCTGAATTCCAGTTAGCCATTGTTAATGCAATCGAATACACCTGTGCCTTAGCTACTATGGCATGTCAAAATGTGTGGATGAAAAAAGGTCTATTACATACTTATCTTAATAATAATTTCATAACTCTAAATCTTTGATGGTGTGTTTTGATATTTTGATTTTACACAAGTGACAGATTGGAGTAGCTCCACAACCTTTCAAGATAAGAGCCACGCAGTGTGTAAGAACAGTTTTAGCATTGAGTGCTATGGTGGCAAACGATGAAAGAATAACGGCAAGTTTTGAAACAGCTGGAATTATCCTCAGAGACTCATTGCTCCCCCTTCTTCTTGTATCCAGCTGCTATAACAATAAAGCTGACTTACATTTGGGCGGCTGCCCTGCACTTTTCTCCTGCCAGCTTTTGTTGTGAATATAAAGCTATAATAGATTTTTCTACACATGCCGCTGCATTTTAATAAGCCAGAATCTCTGAGGGCAATTCCAGGCCCATTTCTAAAACACACGTGTATAGGTGCAACATATAACACATGCACATGTACAACACTCATCTGTCACTGTGACTAGACCTGACTCACAGCCCTGATGGTGAGCACAGTGCGGTGTCCTGTAAGACTAATACAGTCCTACAGGCATGTGGGTTTGTCAGAAATACAGTAGCACTACATATTTAGCTCACTGCAGCCTATACAGCATAGTATCATCAGTACTGAGATTATTCTGCTTAGTGTCTATCTACATTACCCACAAGCTTATTGAATGTGTGACTGGACAACACAGACCGTTAGTAGCAAAGGGGCCGCATCAACATGCGTCACTAATTCAGATCCAGGAGGATAGGATCCTGTACATGGTGGAACCAATAAATCACTTCTGTCACGATAATGGTGTTTCATTTCCACCTCACAGGTGGAGGAGAGCATGATAAACTATTTATTAATCGATTTGTATTCCCTGTGGCTGTGGCTGTTTTTTCTTGATGGAACGTTAATTGAAGGTGTTTTTAGTAGCACACTGGTGTTATCATCTTTGCTCGACCTCTTTCGCTTCTCAAATGGACACAACAGACAGGAGAAGAAGGATATCAGAGGAAGTGGAAAGTAAACTTTTTTTCTTTTATTCCGATTTTAATTACACGTGAATGTTACATTTTTTGCAAGATGAGTATACTGTAAACATGTTAAAGGTACTATTGAAGTACATACAACTTTAGGTTGTATGCAAATTTGAGCAAGTGAAATTATTTTTTTTCATGATGGATTCATACTGTATTTGGCATTAAGTCAGAGAGCTTATATTATATTTAAAGCCAGGTTAACAGTGTCCCAGTGTCTCATATGGATTGGGTTGCCTCAATGTAACTAACACCATCTATCTTTTTCTCTCTCTCTCTCGCTCAACTTGCAAAAGCGCACACGCGCGCGCACACCCATACACACACAGAGTAGCGGAACCATTTGTGGTCCATATCAAGACCTTTAATTGAGCTTGGTTATATTAGGCGCTTAGATTCTCATAATCGTGTTTCGATTATTTCGTGGAGGGAAAAACAAATAACGCAAGTCAGAGTCGAATGTTGTTTAGAAGGCAATATAACACCCCTTTTTATATTACAATTCATTTTGCATTGGGAACAACTTTGCTTTCGTATTTTAGTTAAAACCTACTGAATCGAATACACTGGCTATATGAGACAAGTTGTCTTATCTTACTGTGTGCTGCAGTGTTGACGAGATGAAAAGACACCAGCATCCCTCGTTTTAAGTATTGTTGCAGCATTGTAACTTCGGACAAATATTCAGGTGCACACACAACCCCCGCAAGCATCAGTATAACTTGTGAAGTGCATCTTACCATTGTGAGCCCGGCACTCATCTCCAGACGGCCAAATTGGCTCGGTATGAAATCCCTTTGCCGCTTTGCAGTCCCTCCGATCATTCAACACCAAATCAGGGTGTCAACGACCATCCCAGACCGCCACATGTTATGATAAAAGGAATACCTCTCCGGTGTCCGCATCATCCAAGCCGGTGGAGGGCGCGCAGAGTGTCTGAACATACCAGAGATGGAAGCAGCGGGTAAAGGTTTGGTGCGCTGAAAGTGTCCCGTTACAGCTCGGTTAGTGCTGCTGCAGAGGAGGAGGAGGAGCAGGGAGGGGGTGGGGTCGGGGGTGAGTCTGAGCCGGGGTGCGTAACAGAGGAGACACCTAGTACCCAAGTTCAGGTTTGCGTAAAGGTGACGAAAAGAGCAATATTGTTCCTGAGTATGTGCGCTCCTGATTAGACAATGGTATTTTACCAGAACTGTAGAGGGAGTGTGTCTCCCAGGGTTCACTTTACGTTCCTCCCTTTCCTTTTAGATTATATGAAATTCAAGGACACTGAGGAGATGCTCTCAACCGTGTCCTGCCCTCATCGTTTCACGCACACCAGGGGCCACGGTTCCCCCCCCCCCCCATTACTGCTGCTAAAGGTTGACTCTTCTGAATCTACAGGGAAGCACCGACTCAGAGTCACAATGTTACATACATTTTGAGTCTCATAGCACTAAACACACATCATGAACACCAAAACTAATGCAGAGACAAAGAGGCAGAACAGCATTATGAAATCCTGGCATCAAAGAAAACACCATACAATAATATTTGATTTGCTCTTGCATCCTTTTTACGAGCTGCGACAGCAATGCTGGTTTTCTTTTTCAGCTTGTGAGTTTGTGTGAGTCATTATGGCAAAATGTGGTTCTGGAGACTGTAGCGCAGACTACCACAGAGGTGGTTTTGAGTACTTTGCCAGGTGTTTATATTCAATGTGATCTCACAGAACTGCGTGATATGACCCTGACCTTGTAAATGTGCAGCTTGTAGTATTAGGCGATATCTAGCGGCGAGGTTGCCGATTGCAACCAACTGAAACTTCTCCCATGAGACAATTGAGTAGGAGAACTACAGTGGCCGACGCGAAAATGCAAAAAGCCTAATAGCCCTATCTAGAGCCACTGTTTGGTCTGTCTGCTCAATGAAGAGGATATAAAGGACTCATTCTAAGGTATAGGTAAACACATCAATTCTTAATTTCAGGACTATACACCAAAGAAAAAAAATACTTCTTATTAATATATTCCATTTCTGCCAATAGACTCCCCTGAATGCTACACACAGCTCATTACGTGCCGTCATCACAGAAACAATTGAATGTTTTGTTTAGGTAACAGAACTAGTTAGGTTAAGGAAATCCTGGTTGGGCTTAATATAAGCAAACTAAGACACTGATGTCACCAATGTCATTAATGTCACTTTCATAACTTAACTACAACTCATTCATTTGCATTGTAATGCAAAAGAATGAGTTGTTTCTGTGAGATGTCGTATTTCTAATCCGTCTGTCCGAGGACAGATTTTGTCACCGCAACCGCTTCGCAACCGTGCAAAATGCAGTCACGAAACCATACAGGTGTGTAGTTGAGATCAAAGTGAGGGTCGAGTTTGAAGATGGTTGTGGTCTGAGCAAGAAGCAGGGGGACGAATTGGGGAAGGGGACACTGACCCTCCCACTTCACACCCCTGGTCTGATTTGGGATTGCATCTGGTGTGATCCCATTGCATGAGGGTTTCCATTTATTGTCATTCTATATGCTTCTAATCATTTATTTTTTACTTTTAAATTCTTTCGTATATACAGTATTTATGTCCTCGTCCTGCTGCAAAACCTGGATGTTTCCCTCTGTGGAAATGAAAGGCTTATCTCATCTCAGTTTACTTGAAAAGCTCTTCATCAGGATAAACTTCAGACTTTTAGCAGTTGTTTTCAGTGTACATTTCATAAGGAAATTTTCCACATAAATGGTATTTAAAAGCATATAGAAGTATCTTTAATGTGGTAACTAATGCTCTTTATTTTGTATATGCATTACTGGAAGATGCATGTTAAATGTACAATAGCGATGTCTTGTCTTTCGTCATATGAGATGGGCCCAGTGTTTGGCACGACACAGAAATAAAAACTAACTGAATGGCACAATCGCAGATCTCTGTCCCACACAAATAGGAAGGGCAGTGATATAGCGAAGTCACACTGGCCAAACGGTGTCATAAGTAAATAGATCTCAGTGTTAAGTACTGACATTGAAAACACTTACTGTTCTAGAGCAGCACCTGCTGTATGATGTCAACCTCTGCAACGCTGGGACTGAATTTGCACAAGGTGAAAGTTCAGAGAAAAAAATATGTTTGCAGATTTGTCTGCGTCACTGGCCTCACACACCCACTTTGTCCTTGAGAGGCAGCTCATTAAGTTGCATGTGCCTGAGGCAACTGCTAAAACAAGCAAACACTTTGTCCAGGCCCGTATGGCTGCTAACGGAGCAGACAACACATTAGTGAGGGTAGAAATGGAAACTGACGAGGTGGGGGTCTGTGAGTGTATGTGTGTGTGTGTGTCTGTGTGCTGAGAAAGGCGACATTTGGCTTATTGAATCCCTCCATCACTATTCATTAACCTACAGCAGCATATGCCGCGGGCTGGTTAGTGTATGCAACATGAGACTGATCACACAAGCTGGGCTATCACTTCTCAGTCAGCCTTTTTTTCTTTTTTCTGACAAAGGAGACGACATTTCAGTCACAGCTGAATGGATTAGGTGCCCTGCAATCTGCCCCAGTGAGAGAGTAATGCAATATTCCTTTTAAATTCTGTCTGTCATTTTCTTCATTACACACATACAGACCGACTGAAAGAAACACAAACAGAGATATTCTTCAGACCGGATTTTGCACAGGTGGTAGATAGGGAAAACCCTGGTTGTCCAACATTGAACCGGTTAACTGGTTTATGTGTTTCACCACCCCTAGCAACCTGTTTTTTTTTTTTTTATCTCACACACACACACACACACACACACACACACACACACACACACACACTACCATGCAATGCAAGATAATCCAGCACACACATGCAGCACAAAACACAAAGGTAGGCGCAGCCCTGTCGGTAGTAATAGCAAGCCTCAGTCTGGCGCATAAAGAGTTTAATCCCTCACAGGCAAGAGGGGCTCAGATGAGATCGTATAGAGCCAGTGTGCAGTATGGGTCTGATGAGTAGTGGTGTAAGGTGCATGCAGGAGAAGAGCAATGAGTCACTCAGCTATTAAAACACAAGCTTTCATGCCGATGGCCACCTGAAGGTCCCACCTGATGGTCCTGTCCAACTTTTCATCCCTCTCACTCTCTTTTCTGCCTCTCCTCTGATTTCACAGTCCCTCCTCTCTCTGTGATTGTCTTACCTTACTTAAGAGGACAGGATTGGCATAATGGAAAGAGGGGTGAAGAAGATGTTGAAAAGAGAAGAAAAAGTTTGACAGCAGGGAAACATCTCGTAGAGGGCAGGAAAAGAGATGGTGAAGTGGGTACACGGGAGTGGAATTAAAAGGAGAGGACAGGTTGATGAAACACCAGGCTCATACACGACGACAGCTTCTACATTAGGTCTGTTTCAATTAGTGTCTCTGGCAACAAGGTTCATGTCATCATAAGATAATATTGCTGTTTTCTTTTCATATGAATTATATATCCAAACGCTGTCTGATACGTTGTGTTTTGCCTGAAACTGTCACTGTAAACTGTCTGAGAAGTTCGAGGGAGGGCAGAGACTTTGTAGTGGGTTTCGTGGTTTTGCCCGTCCTGGCTCTCTGTCCTTCTCTCCAGCCCCTGCTCACTCCCCAGACCTGCCAGTCCTGGTCACATGACATCCCCTCCCACCTACACACCTGTTCCCACTTTCCTCATCAGACCTGTAGTTTCTAGAAAACGCACCTAAAAGATTTTACTCTACGATATTTTTGGAGTTTTACGATAAGTAATTGTTCTTTGTATATAAGAAACATTTCACCAACAAAGACCACACTTCTTATGATTGCAAATTAGTTTGAAATAACATGAGATACATCACAAAAAACATAATAAATAGGAGAACTGAAGCCACGGGGAGATAATTGACACACTTATACAGGGAGACACAGGTTGTTAAATCAGGAGAAACTTAATTTACAGTGAACAAATACATTTATTAAATTGTGCAAAGTAAAGTAAAAATTTTGGAGAGTCGACACTGGTGGAGTTGTTGAAGACAGTAGGGGCAGGCTGAAGATCTAGATGATGGCATGTTTGAGTGGGACTGCCCTCAGTGGAAGAAACCTTGAGCACCGGATGTGATGATGAATGGGGAGGAGGGTCACATCGGTTTGTACTGAAATGACAGCTGACTGCACAGAAGAGAACAGTTTGACGGGAAATATATGATTGGCTGAGGGAAGCCGTGGCGAAATCGCCCACTGTCAGCTGATAGAGTAGGAGCCAGAGAGCGAGAGTCACAGAGATGTGTGAGTGAATGAGAGCATAACAAGACTGTCCTAATGTAGGAGGTTAGAGTAACTCCCAACATTTTACACAGTTAGTTAATTCATTTAAAACTGTATGACTATAAATACTATATTTCAAAATATCACTCCTCTACGCAAAGCTCTAAGTTTTACTGTACTTAACTCTCAGTAAATAATCAATGCTAACAATTTGATATTCAAGGAGGTATTTGGTAATCCTAAAATCATCATGGTGGCACCAAACATCCTGAGCCAAATTATGAAAAGTGGTAGCAGTCAAAGTCTATTCTGAATCCAAAGTTACAGGTCAGATATGCTACTGGTTTACACGACAGGAGTTTGGTGCCAGTATCTTACCCCATCATCGTACATCGGACACTGGAAGTACCCTAACGCATGTTGGCATATGATTTGAAGACTGGCCATCCCCTTTTGATACTACTGAAACAGCAGCCCAACACAGCGACATGTCACCGTGCAGGACTCTCGCCGACAGTCGGCCTCTCTCGAGAGCGACAGCCGGGGAGATACAGTCGCGTATCTCCCCGACTGAGTGGATTTCCGAGAGAGAGAGAGAGAGTGAGAGAGAGAGAGAGAGAGAGTCGGCGAGAT